CAAAGTAACTCCAAAAATCTAGGTCAACATCTTAAGTTTCCTCTAACCCTTTATAACCTAATTTCATGAACTCAACAAACTCACCCTCGTGATGCACAATGCACTGAAAATGACTATCCATGAGCTAAACGCATAACCTAAATGAGAAATAGCACTAACGAAGATGACAAAACCTAAAAAGTTTTCATTTTTAGTAACAAATTTTACCTTATGATTGTAGATGAATGAAGTTCTTCTTCCACTCTGTATTCTGGATAAACAAGCTTCGATGACCTATGCAAGCCACCTGAATAAGAAGTAGCAGTAACGAGATGGTTAAAAACCAAAAAGGTTTGATGATGGATGATGGAAGAAGTAACCTAAACGAGAGGTACTTACGATTGATGATGGATGAAGCTTCATCTTCTACGATAATGAAAAGGGAGAAGTGAAAATGAACCAACGAAGTGCAAACGAAATGTGTTCCAGGTCTTCTTTAGCGCCCAAATGTGTTTCTAGGGTTTCTGATGACACATAGTAAAGTTGAAATGGGTGAAGTGAAACTGAAGATATGAAACGTTTCAGCTTGCATTTGTTTTAATTTTACAAGCTTAAATCAAAATGTAATATAATAAATCTATGTCATCTAGTAAACGCTGCCTAGAGTGCCATGCATGTACTGGCTAAGGGAAGCTCACAAAATTTAACAGACAGAATCGCAGTGGCTAACTGAAGTACACTTAACGGACTTAAAATGAACATTTATTTAATAAGGGACTAAACTGAAACCTACAATTAAGTTAAGAAACCGAATGGTACATTAAGCCTATTAATTTTGTAATAGAGTTGAATTCATGAGTATTTTAAAATTGTCGATAAGAGAGAAGAGATTTGGATTGCAACTAAGGAGGTAGTGGACTTTCTTGGACTATGAGATAGATATATAATTAAAGAACACTGAAGATTGATGATTTGAGGAGTATGTTAGATTAGGTGACACCCTGCTCATGTCATATGGCGTCCATTTGAGACTCGTTTACATGAGCGGCCATTTGATGATATATGTCTGTATAAGAGGTGTTTTTGATGGTATGGCACAATTGTTCCATACTTGTCTAATATGTGTATACGTCAATATGAATTTAAACATTATATATCTCGTCGACCTCCTAATTATAACATACATGATGTTGATGTTGATTGGATTGATTACTATTATAGCGTGCACAAATTGGTTACTCTAGAAGAAGTGGTTAACAATCCATATGATGTTGATGGTGGATTTATGGAGTAGTATTATAGAGTTTCACATCCTCGATCTGTACCACCCTCATCAAGATGCATAGAGACCGGTGTTTATTCTTGTCTATAATGCATGATCATCATATTTGAGGCTATCATTGTTAACATTGCTCTATCATTTTATCCAGCGAATATGTATTGAGAAGGATGACTCTGAATTTACATACTTATTTCGAACATTACACTTAACTAACGAATGACCATTAAATTGGTTGACTTATGTATTATTATGTTAAGACATGTATTATTATGTTGAAACATGTATTATTTATTGTAAGACTTATGTATTATCATCAACCAAATTAGTCTCCTCACCATGTCCTTCATCTTCCTTCATATTATAGTTCAGTCTCTCATCAACCAAATTAGTCTCCTCACCTTATCCATCATCTTCCTCCATATTATAGTTCAGCCCCTCATTAACCAAATTAGTCTCCTCATTTTACCCCATCTTCCTCTATGTTAGTGTCCAGTCCCTCATCAACCAAATTAGTCTCCTCACCTTGCCCCTAATGCATAATAATTTCAGCTTCAGTAGTCCCTTTTTCTAAAATGTCTCCTGCATCCCCAACAGTTTCAACATCAGTGGTCCCCTTATTCACAATATCTCTTTCATTCACTACAGTTTTAGCTTTAGTGGCCCCCTTATTCAAAATGTCTCCTTCATCAACCAAATTTTCAACTTCAGTGGTCCCCTATACATTATTATTTCCTTATTCAGTGCCAGTGGTACCTTCTTCAACAACATTGGGACCTACCACATTGTATTCTAGTGAGAGTATTGGTTTCTCAATGATGTCAGGTTTTAGTATAGGATGAATAACATATAAATTCACTTGCCCAGTCAGCAGCACTGCAATTGTTTTCATCCTCCTAGTTCCATTGTCATCTTTCAACAAAACCATGCTATTAAACTCCATTTGGTCGTAATACAAAAGGCTATCTACACTAGGATAACCTAAATCCTTTAACCCTCTAAGAACTTCAAAGTAACTCCAAAAATCTAGGTCAACACCTTAAGTTTCCTCTAACCCTTTATAACTTAATTTTGTGAACTCAGCAAACTCACTCCCATGATGCACAATGCACTGAAAACGACTATCCATGAGCTAAACACACAACCTAAATGAGAAATAGCACTAACGAAGATGACAAAACCTAAAAAGTTTTCATTTTTAGTAACAAATTATACCTTATGATTGTAGATGAATGAAGTTCTTCTTCCACTCCGTATTCTAGATAAACAAGCTTCGGTGACCTATGCAAGCCACCTGAATGAGAAGTAGCAGTAACGAGATGGTTAGAAACCACAAAAGTTTGATGATGGATGACGGATGAAGTAACCTGAAGGAGAGGTACTTAAGATTGATGATGGATGAAGCTTCGTCTTCTACGATAATGAAAAGGGAGAAGTGAAAATGAACCAACGAAGTGCAAATGAAATGTGTTCCAGGTCTTCTTTAGCGTCCAAATGTGTTTCTAGGGTTTCTGATGACACAGAGTAAAGTTGAAATGGGTGAAGTGAAACTGAAGATATGAAATGTTTCAACTTGCATTTCTTTCAATTTTACAAACTTAAATCAAAATGTAATATAAAAAATCTATGTCATCTAGTAAACGCCACATGAAGTGCCACACATGCACTAGCTAAGGGAAGCTCACAAAATTTAACAGAAAGAATCACAGTGGATAACAAAAGTACACTTAAGGGACTTAAAATGAACATTTATTCAATAAGGGGCTAAACTGAAACCTGAAATTAAGTTAAGGAACTGAATGGTACATTAAGCCTATTAATTTTGTAACAGAGTTGAATTCATGAGTATTTTAAAATTGCCGATAAGAGAGAAGAGAGTTGGATTGCAACTAAGGCGGTAGTGGACTTCCTTGGACTATGAGATAGAAATATAATTATGGAACACTGAAAGTTGATAATTTGAGGAGTATGTTAGATTAGGTGACACCTGCTCATGTCATATGGCGTCCATTTGAGACTCGTAGACATGAGCGACCATTTGATGATATATGTTTGTATAAGAGGTGTATAAGAGGTGTCTTTGATGGTGTGGCGCAGTTGTTTCATACTTGTCTAATATGTGTATATGTCAATATGAATTTAGACATTATATATCTCGTCGACCTCTTAATTATAACATACATGATGCTGATGTTGATTGGATTGATTACTATTATAGCATAGTATTATAGATATTGATTGGATTGATTACTATTATCAAATGATGTTAATTGGATTGATTACTATTATAGAGTATGATTATAGCATAGTTACTCTAGAAGATGTGGTCAACAATCCATATGATGTTGATGGTGGATTTATGGAGTAGTATTATAGAGTTTCACATCCTCGATCTGTTCCACTCTCCTCAAGATGCATAGAGACCGATGTTTGTTCTTGTCTATGATGCATGATCATCAGATGTGAGGCTATCATTGTTAACATTGCTCTATCATTTTATCAAGCAAATATGTATTGAGAAGGATGACTATGAATTTACATACTTATTTCGAACATTACACTTAACTAACGGATGACCATTAGATTGGTTAACTTATGTATTATTATGTTAAGACATGTATTATTTATTGTAAGACTTATGTATTATTTTACTTTTAGATTTGTGTGTATAATTTTGTTTTGCATTGATCTACTTAATTTCCGTCTAACTTATTTTTATTTTTATTTTTTATATACCATTTTTATTATTCTCTATTGTACGACTCGTTTAGTGTTGATGTGTGATTGTTGAGTTGATCTTTAATTATCTCTCAATTATTGTTTTTCTTATTTATTATTATATTTCCCTTACTTAAAAATATACTTTCTTTTATAAATTATGACTAATAATTGTTGCTATTAATAATTTTTTTCCATATAACTTCAAATTTGATCAACTATTCTCATAGTTCACTATCAACTTTATCAATACGTTCTCTCAAAAATTTTATAACAATATATTTATCTTACAACCAAAATAATATTTTCTTGGAATAAAAAGGATAGTATTGATTTTTTATAATTTAATTTTTTAAAAAGTAAATGATTATTTATTACTATACATATAAATTATTATTAAAATTTAATGATATTAACTTATTGCAAATATTATTGAAACGATATTAAATATTTTGCTTATAGGAGATAATGGAAGGAGTATTTTTTCTAGATGGTGAGTAGGATAGATTAGATAGTCATTAAGTATATTAATTATGAAATGAATAATAGGTAACCTTATCTACTCAATAAAATTTGTCCATAAAATCAAAAAATATATAAAAAATTGTCCATATTTGAATTGATCATTAAATTTGAAAAAAAGGTCTAAATAAATAAAAATTCAGAAGTAACGTTGTTTTCAAACTGTAACAGCTTGCATCAAGACTCTTATTTTGTATCTATAAATATTCCACACTCTTTCATCATAATTCTTCACATTCTTATTTGCATTGTTTTTCTTTAGAAACAACATTTTTCTGCAACATTGTAGTAAATTGGTATGCACAATATTTTTTCTTCATACTTTTCAATTCAATCATCTCAGACGGTTTTATGATACAGTTGACTTCAGACGGATTATGTCTGAAACCGACCATACCATAAAACTGTCTGTCATTATTGATTCATTATTGATTTTATTAATTTGTAATAATGATCTGAATTTTTTTGTGATCTTACAGTGAAGTTGTTTTGAGAGGAAGGAATGGAGAATGGTAGAATATTTCTGCTGGGGCTTATGCTTTTGCATTGTTGGGTAGCTATGGCTGAAGGTGAGTATTTGAAATACAAAGATCCGAAGCAACCATTGAATACTCGAATTAAGGATCTTGTTGATCGAATGACCTTGGAAGAGAAAATCGGTCAAATGGTTCAAATCGACCGCACCGTTGCTTCTGCCGATGTGATGAACAAGTATTACATTGGTAAGTTTTACTTTTTTATTTTCATGAAATTTTATCTTAAAAAGTTTCAACAAAAAACGATTGATTGGCGCGAATTTGAACCGTGACTCAAAGGTTTTTATGTTGTTTGGTCATAGGGAGTGTTCTAAGTGGTGGTGGAAGTGTTCCTAAACCAAAAGCTAGTGCAAAGGATTGGGTTGATATGGTGAATGAGTTTCAAAAAGGTTCATTGTCAACTAGGCTTGGAATTCCAATGATATATGGAATTGATGCTGTTCATGGACATAACAATGTCTATAATGCTACTATTTTTCCACACAATGTTGGTTTAGGAGCTACAAGGTAAATGCTCTACTTTTTTGTATTCAAAACTAATATCAACACCTCTGGAAAATAATGTATTTTTGTGTCAGTGTCGATGTCGTCTAAAATCAACACAGACTCTTGTAAAGATACATTCCAACAAACTAATGTTTTGTTTCACTATATTTCTTTTTATTGATGATTTAGTTTCTTTGAATCTGAAGGGATCCTCAACTAGTGAAGAGAATTGGTGATGCAACTGCTCTTGAAGTCAGAGCAACCGGAATTCCATATGCCTTTGCGCCTTGCATCGCGGTAATTCAGATAATCAAAATTACATATCTCTCAATCGCACATCACAAAATATAGTCGTTTGTTCAAATTCTGCTACACTATAGCGCTGTTATAACCACTATTTGACAATGATATTTGATTGTATAGGTTTGTAGAGATCCGAGATGGGGTCGATGTTACGAAAGTTATAGTGAAGATCACACAGTTGTTCAGGCTATGACCGAGATCATTCCAGGTTTGCAAGGTGACCTTCCAAATTCACAGAAGGGTGTTCCATTTGTTGCTGGAAACAAGAAAGTAGCAGCTTGTGCTAAGCACTATGTCGGTGATGGCGGAACAACAAGAGGAATCAATGAGAACAATACAGTTGCAACCAGACATGAATTGCTTAGCATTCACATGCCAGCTTACTATAACTCGATTATTAAAGGTGTCTCAACCATCATGGTTTCTTACTCGAGTTGGAATGGAGAAAAAATGCACGCTAATCATGATTTAATCACCGGTTTTCTCAAAAACACGCTCCGTTTCAGGGTATTGTTTCACCTCAAAAACACGTTCCGTGTAAAAATCTTTTATACATATATCAAATGATGTGTGATCATATTAGTATATGCTTAAAATTTGATGTTTTTTTGCAGGGTTTTGTTATATCAGATTGGCAGGGAATTGACAGGCTAACTTCACCTGCTCATGCTAACTATACGTATTCGATTGAAACCGGAGTCAATGCTGGTATTGACATGGTAAACTATAAAAAAATTTCAAGTTTATCGATTACCTTTTTTTATCACTAGAAATCAAACTTGGTATCGGGAGTTTACAACAATTACACCTTCTAATGCTGCAGATAATGGTTCCATATAACTACACAGAGTTCATAGATGGCTTAACCTTGCTAGTGAAAAACAATGCCATACCTATCAGTAGAATTGATGATGCAGTGAAGAGAATTTTGAGAGTCAAGTTTGTGATGGGTCTATTTGAAAATCCATTGGCTGATTACAGTCTCACCAACCAGCTCGGTAGCCAGGTTAGTCGATTGATCACACGAGTTAAACATGGTTTTCGTCCCTACAAAAATGATAAAAGTATATTTGCACAATAATTTGACAGGAGCATAGAGAATTGGCTAGGGAAGCTGTGAGGAAATCGTTGGTATTATTAAAGAACGGTGAAAATGCCGATAAACCGTTGCTTCCTCTTCCGAAAAAGGCTTCGAAAATACTTGTTGCTGGAAGTCATGCTGATAATCTAGGTTACCAATGTGGTGGATGGACGATTGAATGGCAAGGACTCAGCGGCAACAACGTTACCAGTGGTACGACAATTCTGAGTGCGATAAAAAACACGGTTGACAAAGACACTGAGATAGTCTATCAGGAGAATCCATCTCTCGACTATGTGAAATCAAACGATTTTTCGTATGCAATTGTGGTAGTTGGAGAGACACCTTATGCAGAAACAAACGGAGACAGCTTGAACTTAACGATATCTGGTAAAGGAGCAGAAACGATAAACAATGTATGCGGCGGAGTGAAATGTGTGGTTGTGTTAATCACTGGTAGACCTGTGGTTATGTTACCATATGTAGACATAATTGAAGGACTTGTTGCTGCTTGGCTTCCTGGTAGTGAAGGTTATGGTGTTACTGATGTTTTGTTTGGTGATTATGGATTTAGTGGGAAACTTCCAACGACATGGTTTAAGAATGTTGATCAGTTACCTATGAATGCTGGTGATTCTCATTATGATCCTTTGTTTCCATTTGGATTTGGTCTTACAACCAAAGGGCTTCATTAGAGTCTGTTGAGTCATTTACCATTTTTGGTGTGTTATTTTTCTATTTTACATGTTGACACCACATTGGTATTGTTATGTATGTAGCTTGGAATTGGTGAAATCAATTAAAGAGATTATGCTGGGAATATTTTTACTTAGCAAAATCAAGTACATATTTTCACTTAGTAATTAGTTGCTTGATTCTCAGATTTCAAAATATTGCTATTGAGAATGAAATCAAAATGGATGAAGCATGAAATTGAACACAGATGTACCATTTATCACCTAATCCAAAGACAGGTTTATTCACATAAAACCATTATTCATTTAGTTTTGACTTATTATTATACAATGTATACACTCACATAGACACAGTTTATTCACACAAACATGATAGTGATACTTACAAGTATTGAACATCATTGAACATCAGACTCATTTTTAACTTGAAGTGTCAGTGTTACGTCGATGTTACATGGTCAAGAAGATCTACTCAACCTTCTCAATGACTACATTACCTTCACCTTCTGCTTCTTTGATTTGTTTTTCTATGTTTGTCTTTTCTTCAAGAAGTGCTTCGATTTTTCCATTGATCTTTTCGAGCTTTTGCTTGAGCTTGCTGACATCCTTGGATTTGTCCTTACCCGTTAACTTTCTCTTCTTCCCGCATTTGTCTTTGTCTTCTTTTTTCTTCTCATCTTCCTCTTTCTTCTCGGCATCTTTTTCCTCATCTTCCTCTTTCTTCTCGATCTTTTGTTCAACCAACTCCCTTGAAGCAACTTCACCCTTGTCATCTTTCTTCTCTTTCTTTTTAGTTGCTTTTTCCTCATCTTTTTCACCCTCTTCTTCCTCACCTTTGTCTTTCTTTTCTTTTTTCTTTTTATCATTTTTCTCCTTTCCTTCATCATTTTTTTCAGCATCTTTCACTGGCTTGATTTTCTCATCCTTGTTCTTCTCTTTTTCTTTCTTATCCTTTTTCTTCTTATTATTATTCTCTTCGCCGTCATCCTCTTCTCCCTTTCCCTTCGGTTTCTCCACATCTTCGTCCTTGTTCTTTTTCTTCTCATCCTTGTCCTTCTCTTTTTCTTTCTTATCCTTTTTCTTCTTATTCTCTTCACCACCGTCCTCTTCTCCCTTTCCCTTCTGTTTCTCCGCATCTTCACCCTTGTGCTTTTCCTTCTCTTTCTTTTTGCTCTTTTCGCTCTTCTTTTCACTATCCACTTCTTCATCTTCTTTCCCCTTGTTCTTCTTTGTTTCAAGTTCTTCATCCTTGTCCTTTTTCTTCTTCTTCTCGTCCTTCTTTTTCTCCTTGTTACCATCATCTTCATTGTCTTTTCCCTTTTTATCCTCAGAAACTACTCCGCCCTTTTCTTTCTTATCCGAATTCTCCTCGCCATCCTTGCTGTCTTTCTCTTTGTGCTTCTTTGTGCCACTTTTTTCGTCGTTTTCTTTCTTTTCCTTTTTCTTCTTATCCTTTTCCTCCTTATCACCTAGTTTCTTCTCACCACCGTCTTCACCAATATCTTCCGAATTGTCTGCTTTCTTTTCATCCTTATGCTTTTTCTTTTTCTCTACTGATTTGTTTTTAACCTTCAGTTCTACTTCTAACTCAGTTTTATCTTCCTTCGCATCACCTTCTTTTTCATCTTCAGTCTTGATCTTCAGGGAGAGAGTTGATTTGTCTTCCATGTCTAGATTACAATCCAAAAACCTTGCCTGAATCTGAAAAGTTCCCGAAATATATACATGCAAAAAAAACAATAAATTATGTTGACTTACTTTATACATTGCATGCATGACATTAGACAAAGAACAACACTGAAAAAATCAAGAGCAGAACATGAACCCTGCCTTGAAAACAATAACCCTATTTACAAAAGTTGATAAACTTAAAAGCATCCAAACATATTAGTACATATTGAAAATTCCTCCTTAATTGTGATCCTCCCCTAGCCGCCTCATTGAACCATTTGAGCTGTTTTCATTGCATCCTCAAACACTTTCACTGTGTTGGGTGTGAGGAGCAGTGTTGTCGATAGCGGATGGCGGTCCATGGCAGAGAGCCAAAATCCCGCCATACCAACCACAATATCGGCCAACATTTATGATTGTGGCGAACCCATAAACCGCCATGTATATCCGCCATGGCCGCTATTTGATAACATTGGTGAGGAGGTTGGTTTAGTCCCCACGCTGCCTAAAGATATGGCATAATCAGTGCTTATAAATCTTGAGTTAAGACTAAAGCTAGTTTTGTAAAGTTGAGTTAAGACTAATCCAAATGCTGAGATTACAGATGAATTATAATGCATGAGGCCAGACTTTATTTAGTTTTGCAAACAGGGAAGATAGATAATGAATCTCAATTTTCTTAACCAAGCATAATTCACAAAGGTAATATTAGGAGCTATAAATTGGCTTATACCAAACAGTTTTTCTCTACACATTGCTTTTCACTACTAGTAAGATAAACCAAACATAATTCTTACAAGATTAATATTTTCATAAAAAGAAAAACACTCAGTAATACATTTAATATTTCAACCTTAAAAATACTAAGCAAATCAATTGGCTTCAATTTGGATTTGTTTCAGAGTTTCTGACACATCCTAAGTCAAATTGGTCAAGAAAGATCTACATGAAAGAACATACAATATGTATCTGGTTATTTGGTATTCGCTATGAAGCCCGAACACAGAGACAAGAAACTAACATGTAGACAGACACGTGTTTAATCTAAACTGTCAGTGATATTGGCCATGGGACATAAAAGTCCAATTAGACTAGTCATTCCCAGATAGCGGCCGACCCGTGGGATAGCGGGATAGAGGATAGAGAGGAAATTACCCTCAAAACATTGTAAATTTATGGAGTAATTTTGCTTTTTTTAGAGAGAAAAAAATGTCCACTTTCCATCTTATATAAAGAAAAACCTCTTCAAACAAAAACATTTCCAGGGATAGATATATACCAGAGCTATGATCAATCAATATCATCGTAATGAATCCCAATATGTTAATAATAATTACAGCTACAATTCCAAAATCAATCCAATAACATAAACAGAATCAAACTTTACAGGACCTAGCTTAGTTTTCTTCTCAGAAGCAAAAAATCAAACAGAAAGAATGCAAACTCAAAAGGACATAAAATTCAATTCAATAACAAAAGGTTTACCTGTTTTGTGAGAAGAGAGAAACGAATGACTGGAAATTGGAAGTGTCTACTAAGAAAAGAAGGAGTTTGTTCTGGAGCGGTTGATTTTGTAGTGTTCCGATAAAAATGAGGGTCCAACAACTTCCACTCTTACTTTAACAACATTCGGTGCTGTTTGCATATAGGTGTGTTAGAATAAAAGAAATTTCAATTTAATTTAGATTTTTCTTTATTTATATTTAAGCCAAATATATATATATATATATATATATATATATATATATATATATATATATATATATATATATATATATATATATATATATATATATATATATATATATATATATATATATATATATATATATATATATATATATATATTGTAAGACTTATCGGCCTATGACCAATCTAAATGCTACATCATTGCTAACGATGCCATATAGACCAAACTAAATATGGGAATTAAATTTTGTTAGGAAAATTCAAAATAAGAGACCAACAATCTGATTTTTCTAAAAGGAATTAAAAGTTTTTAAAAAACGAAAAAAAGGATCAAAACTGTATTTAAGTCTTTTTTTTAATATTAAAATAATTTTTTTATTTTTAAAAATTAAAAAATTAATTTTATTATTCATTAACATAAATATACATTATTAAAAATAAAAACATAATTAAAATTACATGATTTTTCAAAAAGAGATATATTTTAAAAATATTTTTTATGAAAAATTATTAAAAATAATTTTAAATTAAAGACTATTTTATAAAAACTTTATGAAATAGTAGCGTTTAAACAGAGACGAGTGTCCTCTTTTTTAATGCGCACAACATAGAAAAATAAATGTATGTATATATTTTTATGATGTTTTTATTATATGGAATTAAAAATAATATTATTTAGACACCCTTAAGTAGAAATAAAATCAAGATGATAAATAAATATGTTAGAATTGTTTTAGTGAATTAACTATAAATAATCATTTCATTATTTTCTGACAATAAACTAAAGGTGAGAAAAATATATAAGAATGGGGGCTTGAATTATGTTCATCGTTTTTGCTTTGCTTCTAAACAGAGTTCAAATTATAAACCATGTTCAGATTCTGATTAAAAGTTGCAGCGGAGTAATAACAGAAGCAAATAAATAACAACAGAGCACACAAAGATTTATCCTAGTTCCTCCCAAATTGAGAGTAGTACAGCCCTCTTGCAACACAAGAGATTTTCCACTATAATTAAATCATGATTACAATTGCTTATGCCCTCGAGCATAAGACTTTTCTGCTCATACCCTCAGGTTCAAGACTTCCCGCTTAAATTCCACGGACTCAAGACTTCCTACTTAGACCATCAACCTAAGACTTCCTGCTTAAACCTCTCAGATTCAAGACTTCCTTCTTAAACCTCTCAGATTCAAGACTTCCTGCTTAAATCCCACAGATTCAAGACTTCCTGCTTAGATTCCATGAATCCAAGACTTCCTTTCTTAAACCCCTCAGGTTCAAGACTTTTGATAATACTCCTCGAGCATAAGACTTTCTTACTCAGATTCCTCGAATATAAGACTTCTGCTTAGACCTTTAGTCCAAGACTTTTTCTACTTAATCAACAACTGATCAAAACTTCAATGCGCAAGCACATAGCAAGAGACTTATTTGGCTCAAACTCACAGCAAGAGACTTTGATGCTCAAGCACAGAGCAAGAGATTTTCTTTCTAGACTAATAAACATAATTTGTTTAGCAGAATAGACAACAAGGTGTACTTTATACAATAAGAGGTACATGGAAATAATCATAACGAAAAGCGTAGCTTTTAATATTTCTAAGATATTCAATGTTTAAGAAATCTTAAGGCTTTGTA